TAGTAGAATGTAGCTCCCAACAATTAATTTCTCACTAATCAGACTTTTTCACACAGACTAGCTTGAGCTTTAAATGCTTCTAGACCATGCAAAACTTTGTTTATCAGACTTTAAAAAAACTGTACTTTTCCGGTTTTTTGCTTCTATTCTTCCCTTATTCGTTTATGCAGAGTAATCGGGACGATAGCAAATACCTCTCGTGTAGCAATTTCTAGAACTAGTGTTTTAAAAAAGCAGTGAGTAAGTCAAAGCTTTCTCGTTCCAAAGTAGAAACTAACTTGGATATCATAAAATGTAGTTTAATATTTACTACTTGATTCTATCAAGCGGTTTAGGAGTTAGTTTTTGCTGAAAATTAACCCAAAGATTTGAAGCAAAAAGTCAACAGGTTGTTGCTTTTATTAGTCTTTTTTTTTCAGCAGTTCTCTAGAGTAAATAATACCTGCATGCTTTTTGAAATATATATTTATCTGCTTTCTCTCCTACACTTTCCCACTCCTTTTCCTTTCACTTTGTACTTTAACAACTGTCAGAGACTACATTTTTGTCTGTATAATCACTTCGTGACACAAATTTAAACTCTTTCGGGAACGCTCATAAGATGAGAAAGACAAAAACAAAATTATTAATGAGAAATTATTAAAAAATTAAAATTTTTTCAAAGTATTGCCGCATATGCTTTTTGTTATATGTATTCCAAGATTTGAAGTTCCAAGAGAAGTAGATTCTACATTTGCGTTCATTCAGCCAACGATTGTGAAGAATAGGTTGCCTAAATGAACGCACCTAGTGGATGAGGCGTTTTCAACTGCAGTGTATGTATGTGTAAAATTTCGCACTAACACTTTGAGTAACATACGGTCTGATGAAAATGGATGTATTGCAGATCAAGTCTGTTGAATTGATGTTGAACACTTTTAGTTGATCAAATAGTGTTTGACTTGTAAAAATGAAGACAAAAAAGTTGGTGCATTTTTTTTTTCAACTTATTATCCCTATAAGTGGTTCAACTGAGAAAATATTTTTGAAAAAGAAGATTTAATGCAAAAAAAAAAAACAAATATTTGGTTGTAAATTTATGATAAGGACGAACATTCTGGAACAATTTTCGCAACTGTTTTTATGGCTTTTTTAGATGATATAAATAGTAATATACAAAACACCGTGCAGCATGCCTCTCTTTTTTTTTTTTGGTGGGGGGAAGGTAGGGTGAAAGTATCAATTCCATCTGTATACCAGTCATTAATAACAAAATAGAATAAGATTAAAAAAAAAAAAGAAACAAACAAAAAAAATTTTTTTTTTCCGTCATGATTTAAAAATTAAGTAATAATTAGTAACGGAAATAATTAAAATGATAATGAATTAAAACTTTTTTGGTCAGACGAACGACGGTGTTACTGGGTTTAGAAATTTGCCCAAATACCGTAATACCGTCTGTGAATCACCATTTCTCCTGAATGATAACAATAGAACTATCATCGGTGATCGCAGAACAAATGCTGCAACCGATACCATAGGTAAGTTGTCGATGGTTTCGGGTATTGCTTGTCGTCAGTAGCTATTTCTTCCTCTTTCAGTTTTGTTGGTTTTTTTTTTGAGCATCATCATTCAGCTCTGTTTCTTGTTTTCTTGTTGCTCTTCAACTATACTGTTATTGTTACCGTTGTTGTCGTTGTTAGGGAACATTAACTTTCAGTAATTCTTCTGGCTTTGCAAA